GGCAGAGGCTGGGGGTGGGGGTGGCCGGGTAGAGGGTGCTGGAGGACAGGGTGCTGGAGTCGGGGTCCGCCAGGTCCCCCAGGGCCTCTCGCATATACAGGTGCTTGTAGGAGACCAGCAAGGACACGTCAGTGCTGTTCGAGACACAATGTGAAGGGGCCTCAACTAACCCGCCAAGCACCATCGCAGGTGAGCATCCCTGGAGACAGAGGGAGGCCAGGGAGAGGGCGGTCAGGCCGGCAGCCTCTCGGACACAGCCCAGGCCCCATCGCCCTCCTCCCTCAGACCCAGGAGTCCAGCCCCTCCTCCCTCAGACCCAGGAGTCCAGGCCCCCAGCCCCTCCTCCCTCAGACCCAGGAGCCCAGCTCCTTCCCCCCTCAGATCTAAGAGTTGGGCTCCTGGCCCCCCCGTATATAGGTGCCTTGGGAGAGGACAGCTGTGCGCTGAAAGTTCTGGAAAAGATGCTGAAGATGGTCTTGATGGTGACGCTGGGCTTCACTGGGGCGGAGGGGACTGGGCCCCTCACTGTGGGGGGGCGAGAGGAGGGGGGAGAAGCAGCCTGAGCTCTGGGGAAGGACCAGCACCTCGGGGTCCATTCTCAGAGGCGAGGGGAGGGTGTGCTCACCAGAGACGGAGGTTTTGGTCTGAGAGCCTTGACTGCCGGGGCCGGGGCGGGACCTGTGGGCACAGGGCGGTGGGACTGGGCTCGGTCCCCATCCCCCTCCCAAGGCCGCGGGCCACAAGGGCCGAGCCTACTTTTTCTCCGAGGCTTTCTTCCTGGCGCTGGGGGGCTCCAGCTGCGACCAGATGAGGGGCACCGAGTCGCCCACGGCCTGGGACTTGAACCTGCTCTTGAGGGGCTTGGAGGGGGCCGGCGGCGGGCGCTTGCTGGCCTTGGCCTTCTTCTGCTTGGGCGACGTCGGCTTCTTGGGAAGAGCCGCAGTCACGGCTGGAGGGAGAGGGGGACACCGGTGTCAGGGTCCCCGCTGCGGGAGAGGCTGGGAGGAGGCGCGTGGGGGCTGAGCCAGGGCCCAGAGGGAAGGTCTAGGACTGTCGCCAGGGCTGGAAGTCCCGCCCGCCCGGTCTCCGTGGAGGAGAAGCTGAGATGCAGAAACCCGAGGGAGGCAGCCTGCTCACCTGAGCGTCTCCTGCGGGGCTGGTCCTGTGGACCAAAGGGGGGCAGTCAGGAGGGGCCAGCTCTTCCTGCTTCCACAGCCCCTTGAGCATAGGCCTAAGGCTCCAGGCCCCCAGCCTCCTCCCTCAGACCCAGGACTCCAGGCCCCCAGCCTCCTCCCTCAGACTAGCTAACCCAGCCCCTCCTTCCTCAGACCCAGGAGTCCAGGCCCCCAGCCTCCTCCCTCAGACCCAGAGCCCAGACCCCCCAGCCTCCTCCCTCAGAC